CGCTAATCGGTATTGACTCAGGTTGTGATACTGATTATCTTGTAGTCTATTCTGAAGTGTATTCCATCAAGATAGGATGCGGGCTTTTTAGTGAGCTTCGTTCTGACTACCAGCAAAAAGTATCGATTGTAAAAACTGGCTACTAATGTAGTATACCTTTTATCATTGATTTTGACTGCCTTTATAGATTCAAATATATTTTATGCAAAACACGCACGAAAAAATTATTTCTTGTACTTGTTTGATAGCAAATCATTTTAAATTTTATACTCAAAGAAAGGGTAGCTTTCGGTTATAAAAAAGTTGCTAATTATGAGCTTTTTTATGTATTACCCCAATCTGCACACGCGTCACACCATCCTACGGTTACCTATGATTAAGGATTCTCGACAGAATCCGAAACGTCAGGAAAATAAAACTCTTCTTCTAGTGATTACATCTTCTCCTTTTTATGAATGGAAAATAGATGTGGTGGTTTACTGAACATTCGGTCGACATTCAGGCTTCTTAAATCTGTCTTGGTGTATGATCACTAACTCGACAGATAATTTCGCCGGCGTCAAAGTTGAACATGTACCCCACCTAGAAGCATCAGCGAGCTCCCCAGCCCCCCTTTGTGATGTCTGGTAGATAGCTAATTTGATGTCAATCTAAAAAACCATTATTTAAATTAACTTGCTATAAGACCTAGGATCTGTCCTAAAGGCAAGTTGTGTCTGTAGGTTGGGACGAGTATTTGTCCGTAGCATTTGGTGCGTATGTGCACACAATTGGGGCTTTTACGATAATCCCACGAGTATAAAGGGCCAAACATCTCATGGCTCTACCAGCTAGTATTCGAACTCTCGACCTGCCTGCAGCGTAGGTTAGCGCCGCTTTGGCCTGTGACAAATCATGGGAGAGAAAGCGATGTTTTTATTATCTTGTAGCCACATGGCCACGGGAGACTGCGAACGACATTCGTAATATAATATGCATTACACTCACATAGGCTTCTTATATTACGCTCAAGGAGGCCCTCATCTCCCATGGATTCTTATAAACCTAAAATAACTCCAGCATTTGGTTTCTAAAGAGGAGCTTGGTGATAGGAATCCAGCGCAGATTTTTGGCCTTCGGATGGAAAATATTTTGGATGGCACCATGTTGAAGCAGCTTTTTTGTCTAGTGGTCGCTCTCCTTAATACAAACTATCCTTGTCATATACATCCCTTTTCGTCAATACAGCTGATGAGACAGCTGAACATAAACTAGAGTACTACCAACCGACTCTCTAGGGGAATGCCCCAACTCCGACCGTAACAACTCTTGCCACGCCAGACGTCAAAAAAGGCCTGGATGGCCTAACCTTTCGCGTTCCTCACCTTCTGGTCATCCGTGTCTACAATTGTCGTATTTTTGATAACTCTACGGCCGACATGTTGTAATCCAAGCCAAACTAAAGATGAGGGCCTTTATTTATGCCATCATGACTATGGTTCAAACGCTCACCACGGCCATCTTTATCGAAAAATTTCCATGCCGACCAGTGAAGGCATCAAACTTTGTCGGTCCATCCTCCCCAAGTCACTTACTCCACACTTATAACAGCATGTCTTGCCTTTCTCTCCTTGTAGACACGGGTGCTGACATCAGACTAGTTTGATCGACTTTTCTCCTCAAGCAGGTAATAATACCCCAATTTAAAACTTTGTTCAGCGATCTCTACCTCTAGAATTGGGTCGAGAGCATTCATTTCGTTGCATTTTACTATTGCTGAAGCTCAGACTGCCATTTTCGGAGCCAATTTCATATTTCTTTTCTTCTTCTTGTTCATATAAAGTGTCATAAGCTAGGCAACTCTATGATATTTTTATCATTTAAATAATAAAACCGTAGCTTAATCGAATCCGCGATTTTTAAAGTCCCTTCGACTACTCCCTATCATTGTAAGCTTTCGGAATTGCCACATATCAAACGACTGTCAAAATTTGACCAGCGTATTTAGCACTGCATCGTGCATTTTACTTTAATCACCAACCCGTCTGCTTTTGGCCGTCCTCAGCTTTTAGCCGTCGATAAGTTATCGATCGCAAAAGCTGAACTCAGTCATATAATGGAGCTAGGCATAGCTAAACATTCCACGAGTTCATGGGCTACTCCTCTGCATACGGTAAACAAAATGTTTGTAGTGGGTGGCCTGTCCGATGTCTGGCTTTCCGCTCGTGGCCTCAATCTGTCTGAAGCACAAGTTCTTTGTGGTCGACAAACTTCCTGGTGCGAGACACAGGCCACCCACGTTGTCCAACAACGGTGTCGAACCATACGTTATCCACCCACACACTGTTCACCCGCACGGTATCCAACCAATCAT